GACGCCATCAAAAGCCCTTCTTCACCGTGCTTTAGGTTGAAGATGAATGGGAATTGTGGTAGGTATGCACACAGCAAGAGAGACCTGCACTAAATAAAACCAAAAAAGAACAAACCTTTGTATACTTCATCCAGTTCATCTACGTGTTTTCCCAGATCTGTGTATATTTCTCCCAAAACCTTCTTTGCTTCTGAGAAACGAAGGAGTGGCTCCGCATCGCCATTCATTCTTCGGGAGCTTTTCACTGAAATTGTTCCTGCACACTTCCATGAGTAAGTTCAAAAGAGCACAACTCTTTTAAAATGCAATATGAAAAACATTTAAGGCATGCAAAGAACTACAGAACCACTTACAACTTAAATTGTGTCTAGCACTATCGTTTAAGCCTCCATGCGTCACTCCATACATCTCGAACCCATAAAGTCAAGCAATTCCGCCTGGTAATGAACAAGTTCATGGCAACAAGAACGGAAAACGAACAAGAAGCAAAATAAATGGATCTCAAGTATCGAACGCGAAAGATTCCCACTACTCAAGCATTAAAATAAGAGGCATGGAGAAGGAAAATATTTGTGACGATGACGAGATCACGTCAACAAGCCCTTTGAAGTGCACTTTGATGACAGTGGACATTCATCATCCCCTTTCCTTACTCAAAAGGACTTAGCGAACCCATGAATGAACTCATGAACTCTAGGAAAACACGTAGATGAACTGGATGAAGTATACAAAGGTTTGTTCTTTTTTGGTTTTATTTAGTGCAGGGTCTCTGCTTGCTGTATGCATACCTACCACAATTCCCATTCATCTTCAACCTAAAGCACGGTGAAGAAGGGCTTTTGATGGCTTCAAGGCTTACAATTTTTCCTCGCTTGCTGGGTCCCTATTCTCATCGTACTTCTTCTGATCAAGCAATCATGAAGCTTCTAATTCTTCTCCATGAAAGAATTTGTATTATTCTTCCTTTCAAGGTATTGGTGCTCGTTCTGGAGGCGCCGGGGACGCTGCGGAGGCACTGGTTCCCATCGAGCAAGCTGAAGAAATTGGTCTCTTCCGTGATTCCATCAGAACTATTATGGAAACGTTTAGACGTGACAACATGAAAGTCGTTTTCTTCGGAAGGTAAAGAAACCTCGGTGTTAAAGTTTGATTGCCGACTTCAGTGTTCATTGACTATTGCTGATTTGTCTTCAATGCTTATGCACAATCGATTTGTACGTTCCCTTGCTTGAAGGACTGATGTTGGATCGCTTTAGAACGAGCAATGGTAAAAGTACCACGATCAATGCGATGCTTCATGCCAAAATTCTTCCACAAGGAATGGGTCATACGACATGCTGTTTCTTACAGGTGATTCATTTCGGACATACACCGATTACACTCAGAATCATGTAGCAGTCGCGCTATATGGTAAGTGAAACTGTATATGATGTAGTAAACTAGCCAGTCGTCTTGAACCTTTTAGAATTTGACTTGTTGTTCTTCATGACACACAGCTGTCTTTGAAAAGGACAATAATGCCTCCTTGAACCCTATTTGGGAATAGTGTAGCAATACAATGAGAATGCACTTGTTAGCTAGTTTCTCGAAAATAGCCAACTCCAGTAAATTTGGGGCACTACTGTGCCATTACAACCCCATTAGGGCTGGAAAAGTCAAAATTTTGCCGCTGAAACTCCCGTTATGGGAGTTATCGAGGGTCCTGATCACGAATATGTGATCCATTTTTGGCGCTGGCGCCAAATGGCGCCATGACTGATCCCCCAAATTCGCTGTAAACTTGTGTAAGGGTATTTGAGGCCCTGATCACGAGTATGGCATTCGTTTTCGTCGCTCGCGGTGTTTTAGCACATATTTCTGCTTTCATTATTCATATCATTCGAAGCGCCCAAGACTGTGCCCAGGGAAAGGGAGTAATCGCGGTGTAAAGGGAAAACCGAGCTCCGTGTGGCAAAGGTTGAAGTGCGTGAGAAGAGTGGCTTACTCTTTTTGGAGCCCTCCACTTTCTAAAGGCTTAGTCCTGATTGCGATCCAATTAGTGAGAGGGCGCAGACGAGCAGGAAATAGGCGCCAAATAGCGCCAACAACAAAAACGAATGTCATATTCGTAATCAGGACCCCAAATAACCCCTATACAGAAGTTTACAGCGAATTTGGTGAGAATCAGTCGTGGCGCCATATGCCGCCAATTTGGCGCCAGCGCCATAAATGGATCTCATATTCGTGGTCAGTACTCTTGCTAGTGAAAAAATCTTGACTTGATTCACCTTTGGAGACGTAATAGTGCAATAGTGTCGAAACTTACTTTTCAGCAAGGCTGGTGTTGTATGAGTCACCGGTGATAAAATATGGTGGGCGGTTGCAGATTCTTTCTAAGTAAAGCATAGACGTAGCGGCAACTAAATGTAGTAAGGATTGGCACAGTTTCATACTCATAAGAGTGTTACTGCCGAAAATATAGGATATACAGTATTTATTTATTTCTGCTTATTTGTGACCCAAAGCCCTTATCCGTTATGTTCGAAACCTTCAACACATTCAGGTACAAGGCTGTGATGAGGATACCGGTTATCTTTTGCACGAAGATGATCCTACTCGTATACCTATCAGTCAGCTGAGTAAAATTGGTCATGCCCTGAGTAGCGACAATTCCGATTTACCAGCTATGGGTCAAGATTCGCTGCTTCGCGTGTTCTATCCCAAAGGTCATGGTGAAGGAGAGAATCGTCTACTGCAAAATGACGTGGTTATCCTGGACAGGTGAGCTTTTTTCTGTTTGTATAAAGTAAGTAATGCGTTGGCGACAATCAGACGACACTCTGAGACCAAGCAAGTACTGGATAATGAGACCGAGCAGAGGTCGCATCACTTCATTATCACTACAATGTCCTAGATTATACAGAAATCATCAGGTTCAGGTTTTTAACTCGCTATGCTTTCGCGGAGCGAGATGGCTTCAATTATTACCTTCAGACTTGCAACTGGCACAAAACACCGATACGTTCAAAAGAAAATTAAAGAACATTGACTTACTTGCCTTATTAGGCATCAACGATTTCGAATAATATGTGTCTGTGAATTTAACGCTTGTGGGTGAAAGATTGCTTAAAGGAATCT